GATGACAAAATGGGAAAAGTCGAAGGTAGATAGACAATGGCCTTCGCATAACAGGCGGTGAATGTGTAAATTAACAACGTGTCTTTTTACGGGAAGTCCACGTGACCTTTGTTGTCACTTCGGTATCCACGTGAAGCCTTTGTAGGATTTAAGGTGGAACACAATTAATCAAGAAAAAATAATAATTAGGCAAGAGAAATAGATTTTAAGTGCACATAAAAATCAAAACATCCATAATTTTCAGGCTCTTATCATATTAGATTCACGTATCTTTTAAAGAAACACGGGAAATGAAGTCAAACACGACATCTGCCAGTCAAAGTTATTTAACTAGAACAAAATAAAAATGTGATGAGATATCCTTATGTCACTGTTACATTCTACTTCCGACTTTGGGTCACGTTAAAATATCAAATGCCATAATGATTAATAAACTCAAGGTACCAATCTACAATAGTTCGCCCCCAAATTACCATTCAAGTGTGGGCACAAAGAATATTACATTATAGGATAACTTTAGAATGATGTAACAAAGGAAAACACAGTCAATCTTAGATTAAAATGAACCTTAATAAACAACTAGAAGATTCAATTATCAATCATTAAGACAAGCCTCTAATAATTCCGACCTATATAAATGTAATTTTACCGTTGGTATTTTGGTCCCAAACAAACCCTAAGGGCAATGATGATTAACATGTCGAAATTACACTTCATAGGCATTTTATAGCCAAGGAATGAAAATTTAAATAAACAGACCGTCTCCACAAGTTGGTAGCCCAGTTGCAATGATATACGAAAGACCATCAAAAAATAACTTGGATGATTAAATGGGCTCGACCCAGTTGCTTAGTAATTTAGTGGAAATTACACTACACCCTACTTTTCAAAATTAATATTCTAAAATCAGGTTGAAGGTTTCATTTTACAAAAATCAGATAATTTAATTATTATAAATTAATATTTTAATATTAATATTAATAATTATATTATAAATTAATTTATATACACGCTCTCTACACTATCTACCCCATCCAAACCCTAACCCTAAAATCATCTCCCATCCATTCTCTCATCTCAAACCGCCACCGCCGCCACCGCCCATCTCCTCTCCCGTCTATCTACTCAAACCAATGTCATCGTCGCCCTCCAGTTGCAGATATATTTTTCGATATGAAATCAGGTCTGGAAAAAAGTCAGTGTTGGAGAGGCAGGAGGAGGGATTAATGAAAATTCATTGACTCCGAATTCTGCTAAGTCGTCGTCTTCTTCTGCAGTCGGAGGCGAGGAGGAATCCTGCAAAAGCAAGGAAGATCTGCAGAAAAAGGTGTGTGAAGATGGAGATGAAAAGTCTAAACAAGTGTAGGTTTTTGGCGTTTTCTTCTTGAATTTTTTGACACTTAGGACAAATAATTACTATCAAGGTGGACTTTTTTATCCTTCGTCTACATCAGGATAGAAAATCAAGGCATTAGGGAATAGCATAAACAGTAAACATTAATGCAAATTCAAGTGGAATAATTTGTGTATTGTACCTTTTGGAGCAATTCATTTCCGAGAAGCTGAGATTTTTTAGAGCACTAGAAATAAAAAGTTTCACCACTTGGGATCTTTATTAAGAAAGATTGTCCTGACTTGTCTGCTGAGATGTCTTCAATTTCTACAGAAGAGCATTGAGTCTCAGTGCTCAATCGCTAGCCTCTCTACACAACCATCATCACCGGCGAATGAGATGCACAATTCAGAAGTTTCTACAGTCGGAAGTGAGGAGGTGGTGGATTTGTGGTGGTATGTTTTGGGCGGTGATGGTGGTCCGTGTGGTGGTGGTTTTTTTTTTTATTGTTGTGGTGGTTTTGTGGCCGGGTCAACGGCAGTGGTCGTTCTTTTTGGTGTCTGTGACATAGCTATTGAACTGTAACTTTAAATTTGATAATTTGTAACTAGAAAAATAATTTGTGACCAAAAAATTTGAAAACACGTGACATGTGACATATAAATTTTTTGATCCGCGACCAATAAAATACGCTGTGACTTTAAAATTCGGTAATCTGTGACTGAAAATATAATTCGTGACCAACCATTTTGTTATATGTGATCTAAAAATTATATATTCCGTGATCGTGAAAAAATCTATGACCAACTAATTTGAAAATCTATGATCGTGTGACCAACTAATTTTGAAATCTGTGATCAACGAATTAATTGTGACTTACAAAATTTTTGAACTGTGACCGTAAAATAATCAGTGATGTATAAAAATTATTATTTGTGACTGAAAATAATATGTGATTAACTAAATTGTGAATCTGTGACCATATTATATAAATTGTCGAAATCGGAGCAGTCGCCGAAATAAAGCTGCGGTGGAACGGTCAACGGAATAATTGTCGGAATTGAAACGGTCGTCGGAATGATCGCCGGAGAAGAGTAGTGGCCAGAACGATCGTCGGAATAGTTCCCGGAGTGGTAGGGGTGGTGGAGGTAGAGTGGGAAAATTATATTATATTAGAATTAAATATTTAATAATTTATTATTTCATAAATAAAAATTTTAAAAAATCTGATTTTTTTTATTCTAGATGATCCACTTATTAGTGCTTGCTTAGTGACCTAATTGCCCCTTATTTAAGGACCCATTCCTTTTGTCTTACACACGTTTTTTCCACTACTGAATTGAGAACCTGTGGCTGCCTCTCTTTTGCTTTGTGCAAACATGCGCCTTGTGCTTCCATTTTCTGCCTAGTTCCTCCTTCTTTGTGAAGCCTCAGTCAATCCTCTTCGTGGAACCCTTTGTAGGTTAATTCTTACATGCACATGTGACTGTGACATAATATTCCCAAATTAATTTTTTTTTGATAACCGTGGGTGTTCGGGTCAGCTTGCTCGCACTTCGACTAATCTCATGAGGCCCTAAAGTTTACGACCGGGTATTCACCTCAATAGCCCTGAGTGAACTTGAACTGGTGATCATTGGGTAGAAAACTCAAGGCCTCACCAATTAAACAATCTCTCGAAGTTAATATTTCCAGCTTAATGTCACATTTATACTGCACTTTCACATCCGAGGTTCATAATATATTCATATACAACTTATCAAGGTTCACAACATAATGAGATTGGTTCAATTTACGTATAATAGGTCACATTAATCATAAACTTCGTAATCTTTTCTTATGATATTTAAAACCGGATCAATTCATTGAAGACCACAGTTTATGCGTATCAATAAGTAATTCCACAAAAATATTATTGCCACAACCTACAGCAAATACAATCAGTCGTGTGAATGTCACATTATGATGAGATTTTGAATTATATATATATTTTTTATCAATTAATGCCATGCGCCGAAAAACAAGGTCCCACTAAGTTCCACAAAAAATGTAAAGTATTGTGACAATGGAGAAGAAAACAAGAACAGTGTTATTCATAATGAAAACTATCGATAGTCATTCTACATGGCGTACACATACTATTTGTTATTTGATGCATGAAACAGTAAAAAATTATCACATTAATGTATCAAATAACAAACTACATATGTATGTCACCTAGGACGACTAATAGTAGTCTTCATTGTGAATATAGTATTACTCAAAAAACAATATTAGAATCTCGTAATACAAGGAAACCTAATATTTAGCTATTTTGTACCTTGTAGGGTTGTATATTGGATAGAGAAAACTAAAATGTAATCTATTTAATGTTTGTTGCATATTTCCATCATATATTTTTATTTTTATTTTTTACAACAATAGTTAGTTACCGACATAATTACATAATTTTAATTGATTGAGTTTTAGAAAGAAAAATGATGCATCAGAATGTTACATTAATAGTAGTCACTATCAAATTTGCCCTAGTTATTTTTCCTTTACAATTTGGATTTTAAAAATGGCTAAAAGTTGGTGATTCAATGGAGTGACCTGCGATTAGATAGTTTGAACATCACNCTATTTTATTATCTGATTAGCCTTTGTATACAGTGCCAAAGTCTCGACCAATAATCCTACTGTCATGAGAGTTGTTTGTTGCTTTCTTCAGCTCACAGGCTGGAAAGGCTACTTGAAGAAAAAGTGAATGGACTTCCCTCAGCAAGAAAACCATAGCTGCAATTATTGACGTCCCACTCTTCAAGAGTAATTATAATAGCTCCTCAATTTCAGGCTTGCTGTCCACACTGTTAAGATTTGGGGTTCCATCTTAAAAGGTCAACCTTATTAAGAGGAGTAACCCAATCCTTTATAAGTTGGTTTATGTTTACATCTTTATTCGATGTGGGATTCTATCCCTTAACATGCCCCCACAAGATGTTGGCTCGTTTGAGCAGGCCATCTTGAAATTCGTATGCTCACTTTTGGAGTCTTGATCGGATCGAATTGCTCGTTAGAGTTTAATGAGCTCTAATACCATGTTAAGAATTGGAGTTCCATCTTAAAAGGTCAACCTTATTAAGAGGAGTAACTCAATTCTTTATAAGTTAGTTTATGTTTACATCTTTATTCGATGTGGGATTCTATCCCTTAATATTTCAGGTGCCCTTTACATACAACCTTGTGATGCGTGATTTATTATGTGAATATTTAGTAAAATTTTCAAGAATCTTCTTTATTTACTTAATCTATCAAATCAGGGATTTATTCCGTAATAATGGATAGTTAAAAAAAAAAAGAGTGAACCTTCAAAAAGGATTATTCCCTTCTTAATTTAATTCATTGATTTGTAATTCTTGACATCAATCATATCAATCAAATGCAGGTTACCATCAAGGGAAAAAATGGATATGTATTTAACAATACAACTAGTAGACTTGATCTAGCTATTTCTCAATAAATGGCAATTTTATTAAATCCCAAATCATGCATTCTTTTGTTTTCCACTAAAGTAAACACTAGAACTGAATGCAAGTTGGAGAATTAGAATACATGCCCCTTATGAAAGTGAAGCCATCCATTTGCTGATTTTATTTTTTATTTTTTTATTCTTCTTTGTTATTAGTTATTATGCATCGTGATCCTTGAAGTGAATTCCATGGCCTCCATTTGCCTTCCTGTTGATAGAGAGATGGACTCCTGGATTTTGATGAGTGGATGAACTCTTAAAGAAAATGGAATTGTTTACTCCCTGAACGTTGCTGTTCACATAAGCTGTCATTGGTGGTGATTGCATTGCCATTGCCTTCTTATTTTTCTCCTTGTCTGATCTTCCTTCTTCATCGTTGCTAGATTTTTCGCCTTCAGGTTTAGCATGATTTCCATTCTTGTGATGGCTGGGAGGGTTGGTTATAGAATGATTTTTGTTGCGGGAAGGACTCAATTCCATTACAGCTCCTTTGTTATCTCCTGCAAGTGTTATCACACTCATACCCAACTTTTCAGGATCAGATATCTTCTTGTTAGGAACTTTTTCGTTTGGTAATTCTTGCTTCCCACTGGAAGCAATGCTACTGTTACGAGAATTTGATGGCATCAGCTTTGGAAATTTTTCAATGGTTTCTTGTACCAGCACGTCTTTTTGGTCGACTTTAGTAGGTATCTTTGTTTCACGCTCGCTGTCTGACTTTAATTGAGGAGGAGGTAGTGTGAATGGAGATGGAGGGGGGGCCACCAGCTTCGGTTTGGGAGATTGGACTGGAGTTTTTTCCAATGGTTTGACTGTTTTTGGAGATGATTCAGGGGCTGCAGTTGCAACTGGTTTAGGCACTGGAGACGCTTGCATTGAAGAAGATGGACCTTGAGTTTTTGTTTTAGGAGATTCGCGAATTGGAGGAGATGGAACTCTAACATTTGTCGTAGTTGTTAATGGTTCTTTTGGGATAGGAGAATTTGACAATGTATTGGTGATTGGGGATTTTGGTGTTGAAGTAGTGGTCTCCCGAGGTGGCGATGGAGCCGAAGGCTTTGGTGAAGGGGCCACCGTTGGGGTTGCTGAAATTGGAGACTTCCTTGGGGTAGAAGGTGCAGGAACTGGTGGTGGAACAGGGGACCTCCGTGGAGATCTAGCCGGTGCAGGTGGTGCAGGCGTTGCAGCTGGTGGAGGCGGAGGCGGAGGAGTGCGCTCCCGAGTCTGACTTATCTGAGACAGAACGGATGGGGCCCTCCCCAGCTGACCAAATGGTGCCCGTGGCTGTGGGGGTTGGGTTGGAGGAGGTGCGGGAGTAGTAGTTGGCTGAGGAATTGGGGCTGCAGGTGCAGGATTTTGCGAAGCTCGAGCCATAGAAGGCAAACGAGCCCATGCTGGACGACGTTGTTGTGACATTGTACTACGAATTTCTCTTTAACAACAAAGATATGTTATCGGTACAATGATGAAATGTTTGATGCGTACTCTTAACTATATATAGTCCAACAAACTTGAATTCGCCCACATGAAAAAGAGAAAGAAATTGAAGAAAGGTATCAGATTCAGTAACAAAAGTTCCTTAGTTACGGTTGGTATTGCCTCTAGGAGGGGTCATTCAAGAGTAAAGGGCACCATTTTTTACCCCATATTCAATCTCTTCAGCTTCACACAAGTTCCCGTTAGTACATTGAACTTGACGAAACTCATTCGCAACTAAAGTGAAATTGACAAGGAGTGAAAACAAAAAGAACGGAAGGGATTTTAGCCGACCTCAGAAGCCTGTAATTGGTACTGTTATAAACTGTACCCGATTCTAAAATACAGTTCTAGTTCTGTCCTTGAACGCGGAATAGAATGAGAATAATTTGTTTTCAAAATGTCAACCCTTTCCCTCTCTGTTTAATGCGTGTGAACCTATATTCACATTGCGGCTACTGATGCCGGCTTTCACTAGAAGAATTTCAGAAGAAGTTTCTAAATTTTTAAATTTAGGAGAATAATCTGCTGTTTTCTCGTTTAACATGAGAAATATGTCCTCAGAATCTTAATGGAGGCAATTCAAAATGAAAAATTCTTAATGTTAGACGTACTTTGCATCTCAGAGCTAGGTTGCACAAAAATAGAAAGGGAAATAGAACATGCGATATGATACGATATTTTATGGTTTTTTTTTTTTTTTTGTTGGTGGAAGGAGGGCGATACCTCCGAAATTTTATTAATATGTCATCACTTGTAGCGGAAGAATACCGTTGTTACAAATGATATCAATGAAATCAATAAATAAGGAAGTACTACTTCCCTTACAAAAAAGAACAAGATAAAGCAAAACTAAAAGTAATAGTAAAATACATATACCTAAACTCTAGTGCTGGGCAAACCATACTGGTCAATCAGAACAAGCGCCCTGATATGTTGTGGTAGGTCGACTGGTCCGTAATCCTGGTATCTACGATGATGTCAACCGTCGGTAGCAAGTGCATCTACAACTTGGTTCCCCTCTCTGAAGATGCGAGAGACCATATCTCTATCAAATAAAACGATATCTGCAATCTGTCTGAGTATCCCCTGGATAGGTCACGGTCTGCCACCTCTAGTGATGCAGTGAATGGCAACAGTCGAATCTACCTCAACCCAAATATCTGACAAACCAAGATCTCTAGCCAATAGTATCCCATCACAAATAGCTCTGAGTTCCGCCTCTAATATCATACGTTGTCCATATGAAGTTGAGAAAGCCCTGATACAATTTCTTGCGTAGTTCCTGATGATGCCTCCCCCGCTTGCAAACCCATCCTTGACACAACCATCAGTGTTGATCTTGACAGATCCAAATGATGGAAAGAGCCACCAAACCATGATCGGGAGAGGAGATTGGGGGATAGTCAAAGAAATACAAAAAAATGTAGCAATATTATCGATTGAAAGATATTTTCCCCCCATTTTTTGGTAAATGTTTTTCAAAATCTTGAGGGTCATTGTGAAACTTTTTATGAGATTTTGTATTTGCAATTTTACTTAAAATTAGTATGCGAAGAGTTTTATAAAAGTCAATAATATTTTGAATACCTAGTAACTTTATAAGACTTTTAAAATGTCTTGATTTTATATCGCATAATTTTTAAGGACTTTTAATGAGCCTATAAAATTTTAAATACCCAAAAGTTTTATAGAATCTTAATTGAAGAATTTTTAAATCTATATAATTATTTAAGAGTATAGATTGAATACACTAGAGATGTACCCTTGGTGGGTTCTAAGACGTGGATTCTATCTTCTCTTAGTTGAGTAACTTGATTACAACACATGTTGTCATTGGTTGTGATATATATATATATAT